CCCCGAGCGAAGGGAAGGTGTGAGCAGCGTCACTTCGGGAACGCGTCGGAACGGTGGCACGTGCCCTTCTGCGACACCGTGGAGACAGCCGGCGCTGTGCCCTGCCCGGGGCCAGGGGACGCGAGGGTCTCGCCGGGCAGCGGGGTGGCTGTGGCTGTCATCCAGGGCCCGTCTCATGCCAGCCACGGTGGCTTCATCACCTCGTGGTGCTGTGCCACCGCTCCCCCAAGGTGTCACTGTGCTGGATCCCGGATGCAGAGATGGGGAGTGCCCGCTGGCCACCTCCGCGCTGGGGTGTCATCTCTGGTTCTTTCTGCGTGGCTGCTGTTGGGGCAGTGTCGGGCAGTCCTCTTGGAGCATCCCAGGCAAAGGTCTGCGGGTGCCCCTGGAATGGCCCTGTCCGATCTAGCGCTGCCCCTGTCCCCTCCAGCGCTGCCTGTACACGGTCCCTGTGTGTCTGGTCGCCCCGTGCTGCTCTGCTCCGCGGCGTTGCCAGGGAAGGGCTGGGCTGTGTCCTCCCCAGGCGCTGCCTGAGAGCCCAGCTCGCGGAGGGGACCTGAAGCATCCCCTCGGGGGACAGCCCAGCGCAGGGCTGGGAGCTGCGGGCCCAGCCAGATGGTGCATTTTTGGCTGTGGTGAGCCTGCAAGGGGAGCAGCCAGCCCCCCAGTTGACACTGGGACAGAGCTGTGGGAGATGCAGGAGGGATGCAGAGTGGGAATGATGTGCCCCAAACGTGGATGGTGTACCTGGGCAGCAGAGAAAAACTGTTCCTGGGACAGGGTGAGTGTTTGCTTGGGTACAAGGCTAACAGCTCTTCTTCTGTTCAACGTGTTTGTCTTTATTTTCTTTCTCCTTTACGGGAATACTTTCTCAGGGGTGGGTCGTGGCAGATGCGCTGAGCTGTATTCTCAACTTGAGCCACGGGGATGCTGCGGTAACTGCCCCATTGCTGCTGTGCAGAATGATGCTCCTTATCCAAGCAGCTCTGCTCTGACTTCTTTGGCCCCAGGATTAGGTTTTCGTGCTTGGATTATACCAACCAAAGTTTGTGGTCAGCCGGTTCAGCGGATCAAGCTGGAAACACGGCATGGGAAGGACATAAGGAAGAGAAAGGCAAAATCCCTTTTGGATTTAGATCAGGTCAAACCCATCACAGAGCAGCACCAGCACCATCTCTCCCCCGTCACTCCATCGAGTGAGGAGGGACCTGCTGCTTCTCAGGCTTAGAGGGAAATCTGTAAAGTTATTCCTGCTCAAGCAAAGCTCTCTTGGTTAAATCCAGGCAGTAAAAGGGTCACCCCATCAGTCCATGCTGCTCCAGCCTGGTGTGTTCCTGCTGCTGGGGGGGCTGGAGACGGAGCCACTTGCCCCAGAGCAGGGGTTTGTGAGAGCAGTTTGGGCTGGAGCTGTCGGAGAACTCAGAGAGCGAGGGGCGGCTGTGTGATGCCCCCAGGGAGAAAGGGGGCAGCTGCTCTGCTCAGAGCAGGGGGAGAACAGAGCTGGCATTAAGAGTTTTTTGGGAAAAAAGTTCATAAACGTCTTTGATAATGATTTTATTGGGTTATAAATTGGGTGACTGGCTGGTGTCACTCATCCAGGGGGATTCAATATAGTGCCAAAAAGACCTTGTGCGGAGTGAGGCAGTGGAAGCTTTTGCGCCTTTGTAGGAGATTAGAGTAAAAATCCTTATTTAGGCTGAGAGCTTGAGATGCGGAATAGAAATTAAAGGGAAAAAAAGGGTAAAAACGGGCTGCATTGGCTGGGAATCGAACCCAGGCCTCCTGCGTGGCAGGCGAGAATTCTACCACTGACACACCAATGCTCCAGCTGGAGGCTGCTATCGGCACAGCTGGCTGCACAGCTGGCCCAGTGGCTCTGCCGCAGGGAGAGCTGGGACCCTGAAGGGCCAGTTGGGCGACCCAGGAGCTTGCAGAGGCTGCGCAGGCTGCAGCAGGGTTACGGGTCTCTGTAAGTGCAGCTGATGTGTTAAATACCGCTGGGTGACGAGCTGCGCGATTCCGAGGAGGAGCAGGCATTGCGTGCAGAAACCACATCTGCTTTTTGTGAAGGTTTGCGCTGTGTAAGAGTGTATGCGATACACGGAATATTAGCTGAAGCCCTGCGTGGGTGGCTGGAAAGGTCCAAAATCTTGGTGCTGGGCATGAGTCTGGTGGGCAGCGATTCCCTCTGCAGCTAGCAGCTCGTGTTGAGCAGTTCTCTGCTGCCGTCTTGTGCTGTGGCCGGGGTAAATGATCCTGGGAACCTGCCTGGTTGGACAGGGAGTTTGTCCGAAGACAAATATCCCTGCGAGCACGCTGCTCTGGTGCGGTGGCCCTGGAGAACGCGTCCTGGGCGAGGGGTTCCCAAACGGGGTGGGAGCTGCAGGAGGACAGCGAGCTGCTGTGGGCTGGGAGTGGGGGGGAGGGGAGAGGTCTGCTTTCACTTGTGGGTTCCCTGAGCGTTCCCCATTTCAGTACTGTTTTCTTTGGCATTTGTCATGGTCAAAAATCTCTGTTCCTGACGGTCCTGGGGGGCCAAGCTCCTGAGTCCTTGTATCAGGCAGAACCTAAAGCCCCCCTGGGTGCTTTCCTCTTCTCTCCTCAGGCTGGTGCGAGAGTTTGTGGCTCAGAACAACACATCTCAAATCAAACATGTCATCCAGATCCTGTCGCAGGAGTTTGCGCTCTCCCAGCACCCCCACAGCCGGAAAGGGGGGCTCATTGGCCTGGCCGCTTGCTCCATTGCCCTGGGCAAGGTAGGTGCAGGCGGGTTTTTTTTGGCTTGTGCAGGTTGCAGTGGGAGAACAGCGGCTCCTCCCGGGTCAGCATGGTGGGGAGACTCGGGCTGGCGGTCCCTCCCCAACAGCAGCATTCGGGTGGGACGTGTTTCAGTCGCCCCAGCGCAGCCAGCCATGTCCTTTGGGCATGGAAGCTCTTCCTGGCCAGGGTTGTGCCTTGGCAGCAGCCGAGGTGTGGTGTAAGCGCATCTGTGCCTCCTCTGCCTCCAGCAGCTGGACTAGTCTCAGCAGGTCAGGTGCTAATTTGTGCTAACGGAGTTGAGAAAAGTCTGAGCTAGCAGCTTTCTGCTGGGCTTGGCACAGGTTTGACTTGCTGAACACATGGATTGCTCAGTCTGGTTCTGGAGGTGTTCCATCGCTGCCCCTTGCATGGCAAGTCGGCTGATATCTCTCCTGTTAAGGTCTTTCTCTAGAACTTTCCTCTTGTTAAGAAGCACAAGCTCAGTAAGTTCCTCCAGGGCTGTGCCGGAGCATCCAGGTCCCTGTGGAGGGGAGCAGGGACCTGGCAGGCTCACGACTCCATCGGGCTTTTGGGTCAAAGCACACCGCTGGTTTTTGAAAGCGCCCACAAGGGAAGGAGGCGTTTTGGTTCATAGTAGGGTGTACGTCAAGGACAGCAGAGGGCGTGGGAAGAGCAGGCTGTGCCTCTTGGAAGAGCCACGAGGTGGATCTTCGTTCTTTATTCCCCTTCTCATGAGAGTCAGGATGGGTCTGAGCAGCAGCACAGGGATGGGCACTGCGTGCTGTCGGTGCAGCTGGCTCTGGGGGACGGATGGAGGAGTTGCTTTTGGTGGCCTTGAGGAGCACTGATAAAACTTGGAGTTGAATTTTGGATCTGCTAGTTCACAGGTTGTTGATTTTCTTACCATTTCCTTTGCTAGACGCTGGGGAAACGCCAGCCTGTTTCCCCAAAGTTGGGGTTTCACTTCAGAACCAGCCAACCTCCTGCCTCCACGTTGGGCTGTGCCGGTGAATCCTTAAGCAAAAGTCTTTTGGGCTGGGGGTAGCCTCGCTAATGACTGTTTGCTTGTGGGCAGAGTCAGGGTCAGCCCAGTGCGGCTCTTCCACGGTGCAGGAGAACAAACTTCAGAGCATAGAATGGATTTTGCCTGGGAATCGGAGCCCTGCAGCCCCTGTGCAAGAGCTCCTCATCCATAAGCAGCTGCACGGGCTGGAGCTGCTCCTCTGCGGGTCGTTAGGACCAGGGCTGCGTGGGTGTTTCCGGAGCCAGCGGGGCAGGAGGGCGCACTGGGGATGGCTGGATGTCTGTCTGTCTGTGTGTCACTCACCCCTCCGCACTCCCTGATGGTACAGAGAGTATCCCCCCAGACCAGGGGCTGCCTCGCTGCCCCAGAGCAGCAGCTGGGCTGGGTCCGGCGCTCTCTGGGGTGTTTCCTTGGGCCCGGACACCCCGGTGGGTTTATGCAGAGCCTAGCTGGTGTGGTGGGTAGATCCTGACTGACAGCTGGCTGCTGCAAGGGCTGGGGACCGCCGGCTTTGCTGGGGACCTGCCTTGTCTCCTGCCGGCCCGGCAGAGAGAGGCGGGGGAGGGGGGGTTTCTCTGGGGGCCAGTCTCCAGCAGAGATGGACAGGGTGCAGCGGGAGGCAGCCCCTCTCGCTCTGAAAGGCACTCTGACGCTGGAGTAACCGCCCAAGCTTTTTGCACATCTCTGGGAATCAAAACCAGCCGAGTACAGCTGCTTCAGTTGCTGGCCTGGACTCCCTTGAAACAATTTCTGAGCTCACTGAGGTGACTCTTGCTGTACCTGGATGATAAAATTCAATAATTTCAATAACAAAATTCAGAATTTATTAATAAATCCTGTCCAGCGTAGGTGCATTAAGCCATCGCGGGTGTGAATTTTTGCAGCATGTCCCAGAGCAGCGCCGTCTCATCCCGCTCCCCTTGGCGTGGTCCTCAGCTAACCGCTGTCCTCCTGTCCCCCAGGACTCCGGGCTCTACCTGAAGGAGCTGATCGAGCCGGTGCTGACGTGTTTCAACGACGCCGATAGCCGGCTGCGGTACTATGCCTGCGAGGCCCTCTACAACATCGTCAAGGTGGCCAGGGGCTCCGTCCTCCCCCACTTCAACGTGCTCTTCGACGGCCTCAGCAAGGTACGGAGCTTCCTCTCAACCCTCGCGGGTTTTTATCCTCCCACGCTGGAGAAGTAAGACTTGGTTTCCAGTTCTCATCCTCTCTGGGTCAAACAAACCGAGTTGTCTAAAGTCATCTTTCCAAGTAAGCTGGTTTGCTTTGGTCCAGGTGGGTCTGAAGGACCGAACGAGCGGTTTCTGTAGCACTGGCTGTGGATGTTGTGGGGGCTGGAGCTCGCTGTAAGGTACCTTGTCCTCTGTCCTCGCCTCCAGGATGTATTTTCCTGCTCCTTGTTGAGTCGGATGAGGAAAGGAGGCTATCAGGACTGCTGCAGGCGGGACGGCTCTGCGGTGCCGCGGCTTTGTGGGGTCTGGAGGGTCAAAACCATGTCTGCGTGTGCCTGTCTCTGTAGCTCATCGCTGGAAACTTGTCTTTCTCTGTTGCTTGAGAGCACGGCTGCTGGCCCATGAAAACCTGTGTAACCAGGGGAGGTCATGGGTGCTTGATATCCCCCTTAGGAAGTCTCGGGTGCTTGATATCCCCCTTAGGAAGTCACTCATTTTTGGAGCCTAATGAAGTGTTGGAGATAAAGGGACTTCTCTGTGGCCGTCCCTGTAGTGCCAGAGGAGAGCAGCGGTCCCGGGAGCCTGCTGGGAGCCTCGCTGCAGAGCGGGCAGCAGACCCGGGACCCGCTGCTGCAACTGCTGGTGTTTCTGTCCTTCACAGCTGGCTGCGGATCCCGACCCCAACGTCAAAAGCGGCTCTGAGCTCCTTGATCGGCTTCTCAAGGGATTTTTTCCCCTCCCGCAGACAATCCTTACCAGAGGCTGCAGGCGTGTCCTGCCTGTGGACGTGTCAATCCTGGAGGCTGCAGCTGCTCAAACCGTCCCAGCTCAGTCAAAACATTTCCTTTTCTCACTGACTATAGCCTCTTACCTTGAGGTCCTGGTGGTGATCCCAGGCAGCAACGTTGAGTGCTGGTGGGTTATCATAGTGCCACGCGTGTGTTTGGCCCTCGGGAGCCGGCTGTTTGGAGAAGCAGGGTTTCCATCCAAGCAGGGCGGCAGCCCCGTCCCAGGCAGCAGAAAGGCTGTTCTGCTGCTTTTCCTCCCTTGCCTACATGAGCAGCGATGCGAGCAGAGCTGCTCTGCCTCGGGGCAGGGAGCTCGGTTCCTGTTCCGCCTGCCGATGGGCATTTACTCTCACAGCCCTCCCAGTTCCTTTTCTGCTACTCAGAGATGAGCAGCTCCATGCCAAGTCCTGCCCCCCTGCTCCTCCTCGTTAGCACAGCCGTTAACGCAGGCTCCGCATCGCCTGCTGCAAGCCTTCCTGCTGGGAGATCTGCTCCACCGCCCTGGAGCGAGAGACCTAACCATGCAGCAAAATCCACCCAGTGTGTAGGAAGAGCTTTACAGGAAAGCCAGGGGACTCTCCCACCCCTGATACACGTGGTTACATCAAAGGTGGTTGCTCGTGTGTGCAACACACCACTGAGGTGTGAATTGGAGCTGCTCCCACCCTCCTCTTCAGCCAGGTCCCGCTCAGCGTAAGTCCCTGCCCCGAGGGGAGTTAGTGGCTCATCGCCTGAACAAACCTCGTGATTCCTTCTCCCCAGGACTCCCATCCTACAGAGCCATGTGTTAGGGGTCATCTTTTTCCTGTCATGTGCCTTTGAAAAAAAAAAAAAAGGGTGGGGGTGGCTTCATGGGGTGATGGCCGTCCCTCCTGACACCATCTGCTTGGGCTCTGCAGGACATCGTGACAGAAAGCAACCAGTTTGACTTGGTAGGCTTCATCCCGCTGCTGCGCGAGAGGATTTACTCCAACAACCAGTACGCCCGCCAGTTCATCATATCCTGGGTAGGTACGGACGGCCCCACGCATCCCTGCCCGTCCCAGCTCCAAAGTACCATTATCCATCACCATCCCGTGTCCAGGCAAACAGCAAGCATCTGCAGTGATGTGTGAACTCAGGCACCTGAATTTCCTTGGGCAGGTTTTTTTCAGCCAGCAGGGTTTTTCACTTGCTGCTCTAAAATGCCAGCTCCCTGTCACCTCGCTGGTGCAGTCGCGGGGACGTTGTAGCGTGCTTCTGCCAACCTGGTTCAGGGCCTTGCACGCCAAGTTGGAAAACAGTCAAGGCGTTTGCTTGTATCAATAGATATCCTGTGGTCTAGAGGTCACAGTATCCCAGGGGACAGTGCCAGCCTGCCAACACCCGGTGGTGGTGGAGGGATGCTGCTCTCCAGGAGGCAAGGGATCTCTCCTTGCTTTCTCCTTTCTGTGCAAGGCAGGAGCTCTTGATGTCTGGCCAGGGTCTGGGGAGCGATGCGTGCCTCTGTGCTCTCAGCCATCCTGTTTGCCATCCCAAGCTCTGCCTGTGTGCGTCTTGGCAGCTCTTCCCCATCCCTGCTCCGTTTTACGGAGCTGTGGTTGGAAATGGAGCAGTGCTGCAGGCTGATGGCTTGCCTGCTGTGCTAGCCCAGCTTCCTTCCGAGATGGGCAACTCCATACTGTCCTCCTGTCCTTCCCCCATCCCGTACGGCTCGGCTTTGGATTCCTGAGTATCGCGCCAGATTTGTGCCGGTGATGTTATTTAGCTCCTCCAAAACTCACCTCTTCTTTCTTATTCCTCCCCTGAGCTAGATCCTGGTCTTGGAGTCTGTGCCTGACATCAACCTCTTGGATTACCTGCCAGAAATCCTGGACGGGCTCTTCCAGATCCTGGGAGACAACAGCAAGGAGATACGGAAAATGTGAGTGTGGAGGCTGGCCAGGCGCGAGGGCTGTATCTGCGTCACCCTCTTCGTCTGTTTGCAACTCTTCTGTCTAACCGCAGCAAAACCCTGCGTGCGTGGTGGGGGATGGAACAACCTCGCTGGTCGGTCGGTGGATCACAGTGTCCTTGGCAGGGGCCTCCCTTCCCAGCTTGTTGTGACTGGAGCGGCTGTGGAGGACACCGTGGTCTGTGCTGGGGGATGAACTGTCTGGCTCAGCCTTCCCAGCCATTGCGCTTGGTAACGGAGCCGCAGAGGCTCACGTGTGCTTCTGGGATGGGGCGTGAGCTCTGTGAACAAGCTTGTGGCGTGCGAGCCTCTCGGCAAGGCAGAGCACCAGCCCAGCAAGCATCGCGACCTTGCTCCTCGGATCCATCGCTGGTCTCAGGGCAGAGGAGTGGCTGGGTGTTCTCAGGGAGCTCAGAGGACCTTGGCTCCTTGTGCTGGGAGAGAGGAACTGGACCAGTTTTGTTGGGCACTCTTAGGTGGTGAGACCGCGCAGGGACACCGGTGTCCTTTCTACACGTGTGGGTAGGAGGCTGGTCTCCGTAACTTCTCTATCCAAGATGATGGAGCGCTGACTGGCTGCTCTGCCTCTCTGCAGGTGTGAGGTGGCTCTCGGGGAGTTCCTCAAGGAGATCAAGAAGAATCCCTCCAGCGTCAAGTTTGCAGAAATGGCCAATATCCTGGTGATCCACTGCCAGGCGGCAGGTGAGTGCGCAGAACTGAGCTGCAGTGTCCGCCTCCGGGGCTGCGGTGCCGGCCGTAGGTTTCTTGGGAGGTAGAAAACCAGAAACAGACCAAGGCTGTTTGCTCTTGATTTAACTGATGCCCAGTGAATTTACACTGTTAAAGTCTAAAATCCAGCGCTGTGTTGGCTGACTGCCCCTGCGGTGCTCCCTTGTGCAGAACTCGGGGAGTTTAATAAAACCCCAGCTCTAGGAGTGATGCTTGACTCAAACAGACAACTGCTACGGGTGTGACAGAGAAGAAGCCCTTGTGCATTGGGAACCCTGGATTGAACTGAGTTAACTCTGAAACCTAATGATTGTGTTTAATCTCCACCTCCCTGCAGATTCACATCTTGTCCAGCTCTTCTTGGACTGAACTGTGCCAGACTCTGGTCTGTCTGGACTAGCGTCTCTGGACAGAGCAGAGGCAGCTCTCTGCTTGCAGGTGGTCCTTGCCCTGGGGAAGCTCCTTGCCGGTGCTGTCCTTTCCCTCACCTCTGCTTGTCCCCTGTCTTCCAGATGACCTGATCCAGCTGACAGCCATGTGCTGGATGCGAGAGTTCATCCAGCTGGCTGGCCGGGTGATGCTGCCCTACTCCTCAGGGATCCTGACCGCTGTCCTGCCATGTCTGTCCTACGACGATCGCAAGAAGAGTATCCTTGTAGCTCAGGCCTGCTCCCATCCCTGCTCCGGCAGCCCCCAGGGAAGCGCGTTTTTCCTCCCCTGGGGCGCAGGGCCAGCTGCATGACAGGAGAGGGCCAGGAGAAGTCTTCCCACCAAGCCCTAAAACCCCCACTGGCCTTTATAGATGAGGGGGTTGCAGTAGCTGGGCTGGGACAGCCCCCGTGGGGCTGCGGTGGCTTCTTCATGGCTGGCCTGGGCTGGGCCCCCCCCCGCCTGGTCTGGCCCCCAGCCATGTGTGGGACTGCGTGTTCCTTATACTGCCTCCACTCAGACATCAAGGAGGTGGCAAACGTGTGCAACCAGAGCCTGATGAAGCTGGTCATCCCAGAAGATGATGAAATGGATGAGGCCAAGCAGTCGATGACCCTACTGGCAGAGCCCCCCTCGGAGGAGTCTCTCTCCAAACCAGAGGCAGCGTCCAGTGGTGAGTCCCCGTTGGTCTGAGCCATTAGAGGTGTGAAGGAGGGTCAGGGGAAGGTCCTTGAGAGAAGTTCTGGAGTTGGTTTGGTGTGCTGGGGCAGCTCAGGGCCCATGGGACGTCTGTGCTTTCTCTGAGCCTTGCAGTCCTGTTTCGCAGACCATCCCCTGCTGAGACAGACCCGTTGGGTGCTGGCTGGTGGCAGGGTCACCGGTCTGGGCTGGAGTCTGGGCGGTGCTGCGCCGTTGCATTCCCTGGGGAGCATCTCCATCCCATCACCGCGCTGTGCTTCCACTTAGTCATGGAGTTGACCTGAGAAAGATCATTTATAGTTAAATGTTTAGTGAATGCTGCATAACATGGGAAGAGAGATAACACATGCCTGGAGGCTGCGTATCATAGAGTCATGGAATGGTTTGGGTTGGAAAGGACCTTAAAGATATCCAGTCCCACCCCCTGTCAAGGGCAGGGACACCTCCCACTAGCCCAGGTTGCTCAAAGCTTCATCCAACCTGGCCTTGGACCCCTCCAGGGATGGGGCATCCACAGCTTCCCTGAGCGTATGTTGGGGAAAGGTAGAGAAGAGAAAGGAGAAGAATTTTGGGTCCTTTCCAAATTCGTGGGGGTATTGTCCCTGTCCTAAAATTTCCAGAACAGAAAAAGCAAAAGTTTGTAAGTGTGGTGGCAGGTCTGAAAGGGTGTTCAGGTGAGAAGGAACGAAACAGAGAGGGTCCTGGTGGGCTGATGCCTGAAAAACAGCTGCATCTTTAGCCTTCCAGCATCCCTTGGACGCTGTTGTCCTGGGATGACTAGGCGCTACTTCTGGCACATCTGAAATAGATGTAGAATGGAAATCACGTGGGCTAATCCGTTTTATTCGTCTGGGAATGCATGTTCAACCCAGTGTTCTTCTGTAACACGTCTGCAAGTGGCTTTTGGAAAATCCTGCCGAGAGAGGGAGCAAGAAGGTGGGAATCAAAACGCTGAAGGGTTTCCTTGTGCAGCAGCAGTGAGGAGGCGGAGAGCTGGGGGGGCTGCAGGCGGGTGGCAGCCTGTGGGGCAGGCAGGGTGTGCAGGCAGGATGAGCAGGCAGGGGCAGGCAGGGCGTGCAGGCAGCTGTGCAGCTGTGGCCAGGGCAGCATTGGTGGTTCAGTGGTAGAATTCTCGCCTGCCACGCGGGAGGCCCGGGTTCGATTCCCGGCCAATGCAACAGCTTTTTTTTTTCCTTTGGAAGGCATGGAGGGGAAAAATGTAGTGCTGTAGCACAGCAGTACATTTTTGGTTTTTTTTCCTTATTTGTCCTGAAAATACCTCCTTTTATTAAAATCTATTGCAGAAGAGCTTTGAAACATCAACAGAAAGTTGAATTGCTTTCATGGCTACCCCTTTGGGGTGGGATTGCGCCTTGGAGCAGACAGGAGCAGATAAACCTGCGATGCTTCTGCATCCCATACTCTCTGCTCCGCTCCCGGGTTGTGCTGATGTGGCGGGGGCGCCGCGCGGGGGGGGGGGGGGGGGCGG